CACACACACACACACACACACACACACACACACACACACACACACACTCACGCATCAAAAGGGGCGGGGCTCCTGCCCCAAACCCACCCAACTCTCTGAGAAGGATAGGCTTTCTGCAGGGCAAAGCTGGAAAGGGAAAGGAAGGAAGAGGCAGTAGAGGAAACCCAGAGAATTTCTAGAGAACAACTGATCTAAAGATAAGATACTGGTTCTATAGACCTAAGGAGAGAAAAAGAGGGAAATGGGGTAAACAAAAGAAAGAAAAAGAGGTTTGGAAAAAGTAATGTGGGACTGAAAGAAGAAGAGGAGGTGAATGGGGAGGAAAGAGGGGAAGAGAGGAAAGGATTAACGAGGGAGGGCAATTAAAAGAGGATAGAATGGAAAAGAAAAGATGGAGTAAGTAAAAGAAGAATGACATAAAATTAGAGGGGAAAGGAGTGATGGACCATATTGTCACCCCATCTGTTCCCTTATGTTGAGGTTGGCTTTTTGTAAACCATCATAGACATTTTAAGTACCTCCAGGAAAGGAGATCCAATTCTTTGGCCTGGTTAGCTGTGCCTGTGCTTAACAACCCATACTTCTGGGGACTTCTTGCTGATATCTACCTTAATTTGTCCCCTTTCCCCTCCCCCACCCCAATATACAGCCGTACACGTACACACCACACACACACACACTCCCCACTGTGATTTGAATGAATTTTCCCTTCTGCTGAGGACAAACTTCCTCTATATCCTTTATTAAACTTCCCTTCAGAATTTTCTTCTTTAACTTCGATAATATTCTTTTCAGAAATCAACTTCAAATACCTCTCTTTTTTCTTTAAGATTTTTGTGGACATATTATAATTCATGAGAAGGAACAAATAATAGGATGAAGGAAAACCTTGAAGCCAATATCCATCCTACACCTCACATTTTGAATGACAAAAGATAAACTCCAGTATTCTTAGAATGTTAGAACTAGAAGGGATTTTAGAATATCAACTAGTTAGTTCAACTTTTTTAATTTTGTGGATGAGGAAACAGAGATGGGCAAAGCGTCTTGTCCAAGGCCACATAACCAGTCAGTGATAGAGCCAAGATTAGTACCTAGATCTTCTGATTCTCAATTTAGTTATCTTTCCTCTCCTTGATTGAGTTCTTCCCCCTCCCCCATGATTTTATGGTTCCTTTTAAAAGATTAGTTGGTATTTTATTTTTCCCCAGTTACATGTAAAAACAATTTTTAACATTTGTTTTTAAAACTTTGAGTTCCAAATTCTCTCCCTCCCTCCCTACTGCTCCTCACTGAGAAGGCAACCAATTTGACATAGGTTATACATGTGTAGTGGTGAAAAACATGTCCATAATAGTCATGTTGTGAGAGAAAACATGGACAACAAAACTCAAGAAAAATAAAGAAAGTAAAAAAAAAGAGAAGTATGTGTCAATCTGTATTCAGGTACCATCAGTTATTTCTCTGGAGATGGATAGCATTTTTCATCATAAGTCCTTCAGAGTTGTCTTGGATCATTGTATTGCTGAGAATAGCTAAGTCAGTCACAGCTGATCATCTTACAATATTGCTGTTACTACTGCTGTTTGTACACAGTGCATTTCACTTTGCATCAGCCCATGCAAGTCTTTTCAGGTTTTTCTGAGAGCATCCTGCTCATCATTTCTTATAGTATAACAGTATTCCATCATATACTACAACTTGTTCAGCCATTCCCTAATTGATGGGCTTCCCCTCAGCTTCTAATTCTTTACCCCCAGAAATGAGCTGCTATAAATATTTTGTACATATAGGTCCCTTTCCTTTTTGTTTTTTATCTCTTTTGGAATACAGACTTAGTAGTAGTATTGCTAGGTCAAAGAGTATGCATGGTTTTATAACCCTTTTGGCATACTTTCAAATTGCTCTACAGAATGGCTGAATCAGTTCACAACTCCATCAACAATGCATTAAAGTCTCCCCTTTCCCACATCTTCTCCAATATTTCTCATTTAACTTTTCTATGTTATTAACCAATCTAATAGGTATGAAGTAATGATTAAGAGTTCTGTAAGGGTAGAGATCATATCTTTTACTTAGAATCATAGCTTGAAGGGAACATAGAGAAACCTAGTTCAACCTTCTCCTTTCAAAGTCCAGGAAAATTAGACTTCTTTCTGGAAGTAAAGGCATAGAACAACATTGGGCCTACACTTGATGAATCTGTGATTTCATACTGAGGAAACCCTAGTGTGTGAACTCTCTCCACTAGACGTGACCCAACTTAATAGATAAAGTCTAGGGAGTTGCTTGAGGCACTGAGAGGTTAAGTGAATTGTTCAGAGTGTCAGAAGTAAGATATGAACCCAGGTTTTCTATGGCTTCCAGTCCAGCACTTTATTCATTATCAAGTGTCTTTAATTCACATATTTAAATTCAACAAGTATTTAAATATTTGACTAAGCATGTGTCTAGAACATGCTAGAACATTTCCAGAAGGCCATCGAAGTAATTTTTTTTCCCCTGCTGGACACTTGATCTTCATTCATTCAAGCTCTAATAAAATCCTTCTCCAAGGCCTTATTGTGGTCTTCTTCAACACTGTAGGAGTAGAATACTTGAAATTTTACCATAGTCCCAGGGACAGTTAAAGTTCTCAGTTTGGGCGTACCTGCCCTAAGGCTGAGTTGCCTTGTTAGGTGAGGGTATGCTAACTCATCTAGCTGATCTGAAAACAAGATTATGCTTCACATCTCTTCCAGCTGTCCAACCAGACCATCTTGCAGTCTGCCCTACTGCCCTGCATTCCACCTCCTATTCTGGGAAAAAGTAATTAAATTGATACTGACATTGCTTCAAGAAAGGCAGTGTCAACTGTCTACCCTTTGGATCAACCTTTGGTCCCGGTTGTGGGGTGGGGGACCAAAACTCCTTTCTCTGGCATGGGAAAACTTTATTATTTATTATATTATTTGAATCTAGCTTTGTGTGTCTAGATATTGCTTAACCCAGGATATTCAGAATGTGTAGGTAATACTGACCACAGAGACCCTACAGGGGACATAGGGATTGCTTCAAGGAATATTTGGATGCTACCCAGGTCTTGTGTTGGGACCTTACCCAAAAGGTTGTGTTTTGACTTTGCCCAAATTTTATTGAATGTTTAGATTTACTTGCTGATATACATCTCAAACAACCAAAGTGCCTTATCTGGAAACTGCCCCTTTTTGGAAACTGCCTGGTGTAGGCCACTCAGCTGCTTGCCATTTCACCTTTGTTTGAATTTTATATAATGTAAAACTCACAAAGACTAAGAGGGAAGCTGGTCACAAATTTCTCAGCTCTCCACTCTGCTAAAAGACATTAATTTTTTTCTTTAAAAAAAACTCTTTTAGAAGTTTTGGATTTGTTCTTGACTGACACTGGCCACCACTCTCCTATATGTGCTGTCTGCCTCTATAAGAATGAATAAATGAATGAAAGAAAAAGCATTTGCTAAACATTCCTATGTGCTAGGCATTGGGCTAAGATATACAAACACAAAAACAAGACAGTTTCTTCCATTAAGAATGTAATCATCTTGTGGGGAGGACTGTCTCACTTTTGTATGTAATGCCCAGGGTTTCGCACAGTGCCTGATGTCTAGTGAGCACCTAACAAATGACTTTTCATTTATTCACTCATCACTAACTCTTTCAGGTATGCTCAATCTGAAAAGCCTCCATGAATGGACTTTTGTAGAGTGTGTACATTGAGAACTAGGCTAGCTAAGTTTAGAGAGGCATATCACCTGTTTGGGAATAGGATGATCAATTTTTTGGCCATAGCAAATCTTAAAAAGAATCTGCTAAGTTACAGAGATACTGTGACTATACTTGAAAAACTAGTTGCAAACTCTCTCCAACTAGGGAGTCCAGGAAGGTTATGGAAAGGAACTGGTAGAGAGGGACTGACTAGGATCTAGGCTTGGTGTTAGTAATGAGGGGCAAAGAACCATACCTTGGTCCCCCCTCCCAGTTTTGCTAAGTGCCTCCTTGAGGTTTATAGACACTTCAGCATAATTTACAAGGCTTTGGTACCAACTGAATTGAAAGGAATTTACTTATCACAATCTGAATCTTAGGAAGACTAGGAAACTGCAGCCCCTTGAGGGGAGGAAGATTATCAAAAAGGAGGGAGAGACAGATCTCAGAGGTCCTTTTGTGATTCATTTGAATGTAACTATGGCCCTCTAATAAAAGAGCCCAAAAATGTGTTGATTGGCCTCAGGCAAGTTGACTTTGTGGTCTCACATAAGAGCACAATACTCTCTGTGAAAAAGAAATCAGCCATCAGAGCATAACTCTGGCTTCTCAGTGGAGAAGATGCAACATAGTATGTAACGTAGGCAGCTTAGCAGAGGAGCAGTAAGCAATAGTTTCAGAGACAGACAGGAACCAGAGCTTTGGAGGCAGAGTAAAGCAGCTGTGAGCCTCTGGTTGCTGAGAGACAGATCTATGAGAGGTATTCTTGACAGTTTCTTCAGACACTATTTCCTCTCCCATAAGTCACTTTGGAGCCTGTGGAAAATTGTACTTCTTTGTGTTTGTGCAAAGGGATGGGGATAAAGGGGAGGGGACGGGGAGGATTGTTTCCTTACTATTAATTTTGCTGTTTTGTCCTAATTATGCAATTTTAGATTTGATTTATGGCTCCTGGTGTATTGGTAGAGAACACAATGATGAAGGAAAGAGAATAAGCATTTATATAGCACCTACTAAGTACCAGGCACTGTACTAAGCACTTTATAAATATTA